GGGGGGGGGGGGGGGGGGGGGGGGGGGGGGGGGGGGGGGGGGGGGTCTCTCGCTCGGCGCGGATCGCTGCGGGCTCCGCGCGGCCATGGAGGCGGACGGGAGCCAGGCGACCTCGGGCGGCCCCGGCGAGGCGCAGCACGACCCCGGGTAAGTGTGCGGGCGGGGGGGCCCCCCCGGCCCCGCTCCGCGCCGTGCCCCGTCAAAATGGCCGATGGCGGCCCGGCGCTGAGCCCCGCTCCGCTCTCTCCCCCCAGCAAGATGTTCATCGGCGGCCTCAGCTGGCAGACCTCCCCAGGTAGGCGCCGCGCCCGCCCCCCCGCCCCCCCTCCGTGCCCGCGCTGCCCCCCGCTCTCCTCTCCCCGCAGACAGCCTGCGCGACTATTTCAGCAAATTCGGGGAGATCCGGGAGTGCATGGTCATGCGAGACCCCACCACCAAGCGCTCCAGGTAAGCGGCTCCCCGTTCCCCCCCCCCCCCCCCCCCCCCCCCCCCCCCCCCCCCCCCCCCCCCCCCCCCCCCCCCCCCCCCGGACAAAACTTTGCGGCCCGGCCCGGGGCCGCCCCGCGGAACAAAGCGGCGGCGGTGCGGGAGGTGCGGCCCCCCCGGTGCTCATCGCCCCCCGCCCGTCTCCGCTCTTTGTCTCGGCAGAGGCTTCGGCTTCGTGACGTTCGCGGACCCGGGCAGCGTGGACAAGGTGCTGGCCCAGCCGCACCACGAGCTGGACTCCAAGACGGTAGGTGGCCGCCCCCAGCGCCGCCCCGGATTCGGCTCGAACTCGCGAAAGCGGCAACTTTTTATTTTATTTTCTATTTTTTCCGCTTTAATCCGAATTCTCCCTGCCGGCCGGTGGCTCCTCCCCACGCCTCACGTTCTATCGAGCGATGACATTGAAAAAATCCCAGGGTGAAACGTAACTTTTTGTGGCGTTCGGCTGCGGGTTTCCTGCGGGGCGCTTTGTGTGGCTGCGATGGGTGATGAGGTCCCGCTGATGTCCCCCGGCCGTCCCAGGGCTGCCCACAGCCGCACCGTCCCCTCTTTGGTGCCGCTCACGCTGGGGCCCGGTGGGATTCACACGTTGATCCGTGAGGGTGAGGGCTGGCAGAGCTGCTCCAGTGCCGGTTTGCTGTTTGTGCAAAGCTTTTTGCTACAGTCGCTCTCCAGTGGATAATGTGACATTATTCAACTGATATATATATATTTTTTTTCTTTAAATGATCATTAAAAAAAATAACAAAAAACAACCAGGGGACCTACCCCTCTTCCCCTCGCACCACGTTTTTTCAGCGCTGTGTCCGGCCCCCGCTGCTGCCCTGCACCCAGGGGCTGGGGCTGAAGTTGGCGGCTCACGCGCTGCCTCCGCACCGTGCCCAGCAGCGGCGTGGGGAGGACGCCGGTAGAGGTCATTTCTGCTCCGGTGCCGCTCGGTGTGAGCAGTGCTGGGGATGGGGGGGCTGTGGGGCTCAGCCCTGCGTGGGGCTCCTGCAGGCGCGTGGCCGCGGCTGTGCCGCTTTGTGGTGCCAGGGCTGAAATGTGACAGCGGTGAAAGGGAGCCTCGGTGCCGGAGCATCCACTGTGCACCTGGGTGTGATGCAGCCACACCAAGGGCAGGCCGAGCACGGCGTGTGGCCCTTAAAGGGGTTGATGTGAAACGTGAAGCCGCTAGGAAGCAGGTGGGACGCAATATTTGAACCTGACTGACAGATTCTGCTGGGCCTGTCTGAGCTCACGGCCCCTGCCTTCGCCTGCCTCAATAATTTGATTTGGGGTTGAATCAGATACGGTGCAATCACCGATTAAAGTCGCCAGACCTTGGTGTACGGCCGTATTCTGTGTGTTTTTAAAGATAAATTTAGTTAGGAAGAACAAAGGCAAACAATATCTGAGCAGGAGTTTAAAGAATGCCGGGAGGACACCCTCTCTTCCTCTGCCCGTAACTGTGTCCTCCCCGGCTTTCCATGGCACGGAGTCCCTGCGGTGTATTAGTTTGCTTTGCTTGGGGGAGGGGCGAAAAGCTCCGCGAGGGCCAGTGTGCCTCGGTGCGGCGTGTGAGAGCGATGGAGGCAGTTCTGCCGGCGGTGCTCCCCGCAGTCAGAGCTGGCTGGCGGGCGCAGCTCGCGGGTCGCCCCGGCCGCTCGTCGGTAGCCGTGTTGTAGTGACTGCTGCTCGGTGTAACATAGCATTTGACTCTGTTTCAACGTTCAGCGCAGGAGGCAGATCGGTTGGGTATTGGCATGGAAACGTCGCTCTTGTTTACAGTTACGTTAAAAGCTTTGTTTAGGTAATGGCCATTCATATCAGAAATAGTATTATAGTCATTTCCTAGAGGATTGTAGATACAGTAAGTAGAGTCGTACCTAACTAACTCAATATTTTTTTTTGTAGAAATTTTTTTGTTTGCTGAAGTAGTTGACGGGGTTATGGAAAAGGTATGGATGTGCCATGGGGTGCCGGGGTGCCTCTGAGAATGGCAGCACGGGGCAGAGAGTTTGTACAAAGGAGAGCTTGGTTGCTCAGGTGGTGCTGCTGCTGCGGTGCTGGGAGCTCCGTGCTCTTTGGACTGACCTTGAGAAGTGAGCGGTTCGCTTCAGAATGTAACAGCTCTTCTGCTTTCTGCCGTGGGATCGTGGTGTTCTGGTGGGACTGGTGTTCGTTTTGCAGAAACTTTTGCATTGGAAGTGGCTGTAGGAATGTGCCTGTTTGCCTGTGGGTACCCGCATGGGCCGTCCATACCTTTTGTATTGCCCCAGTAGACAGATGCTAGTCAGTGCTGGATGTATTTGTAGATAATGTTAATCTCTATGAAAAAGGTTAGCTTTCTAGTTAAAAAAAAAAAATTACTGTTTAATGCTTTTTGAACAAAGAAGAGGCACGTAATCACTCATTTCTCAGGTGTGTTCTAAAAGAAAGATACTGTATTTGTATCTGATGCAGACAAATTAGTGATAAGTCGCACTTCAAATGCTGGTGCTGTTTGCAATTTTGACATACTAAGTGAGCAGAGCTGCTCTTTAGGAGAGGTTATTTGTCACGGAAATCGCCATAGGAATAATGGCACCAAAGTGGGAACACCTCCTTGTTTGGGGGCAGCTGCAGGGGGTGAAATACAGCCAACCCCAAGCCACGAAAGCCTCTGCTTCTGCCCTCACATGGGCAGGGTCAGTGTTTGTGACGCAGTCGGGGAGCACTGAAGGCAGTCGCAAGGTGCGCAGTCCAGGTGGGATGTAGTCCTGTGAAACACCCTTTCCTAGCTTAGTTAGAATGTGTGTGCGTGCAGATGCTGCTAAAAATACAGATGCAATCAGCAGCACATGTACACTTTCTCGCAGTCATTTTCGGCAGTAAACTGCTGCCTGAAAGGTGTGATTATTTATTTACATCCAGTCCTTCATTTGTGCTGGTGGATTTCTGTTTTCAGGTGATTTTTGACAGAGTACAGTTGGTAAAGATGCCCCATGTGAAAGCTGCTTTTAAAATTGCAGAATGAACATTTTAGAGCTGCAAAGTGGATGTGGCTTGTAATTTATGCAGCACAGTGGGTGTCAGTGCTGCATCTGAAGGGAGCGAGGGATGAAACCAAGGTGTGCTCACTGATCTTCTTGGTCCTTTTTGTCCCTGCTTCGCTCAGGAATACTTTAGGGAACTCCCTCATGGAAAATCTTTTTTGAAGATCTGGGTCTCTTCTGGCTCACAGTGCCTGCACGTTTTGTTTTGCTCTCCTCTGTTTCCCTCACCTCCACAGTGCTCCTCTGCGGTCTCTCAGTGCTCATCTGTTCTTTGGGGGAAATGCTGATCCATGAGGAGCGCTGTGATGAGGGATGGTCTCGCAGTCCTAACAATTCAGTTTTAATTATCAATAGGAACTGAAGCAATTTGACTTTGAATTTTGCATTTTGTGTTGGTGCTGCTAGCCAGCTGACAAAATAGAAGAATAAAACAAAGACCAAAGTAACCCAGAACCCAACGGAAGGAAGGTGCAGGTGTCAAGGCCTACGGGGTAGGGCTCGATCAGGAGTGCTGGCTTTCTGTGCAACCTCAAGAGTGGTGTTGCTGCAGAAGCAGCACCCAGAGGCCCACACAGGGCTCCCTGGACGCTGGTGGTGGTTGTGGCCCGCTGGGCCCTGCTCAGGGTGCACAGGAGAGACGTTTGCTTCCTCCCTTCCCATCTCCCTCCCTTTGCCAGGAAGTCCCTGACAAACCCAACCTGTGATCTCTCACTTATGGAGTAATTGTAGGGCCCAGTGTGCTGAACTATAAGCCTGAGAAATGAGAGATTAATAATTCAATGTTTTTTTTTTTTTAATAAGACAAAAAACAGCCTGACAATCTTTTTGATTTCTCCTTTCTTTTTCCTCAGATTGACCCTAAAGTTGCGTTTCCCCGACGAGCTCAGCCTAAGGTAAGTAGGAGGATCAATAATAGGATTTTAGGCACACAGAGAATCATTGTTGCCAGGCAGTTCAGGTTTCAAACGGGGAATTGGCAATGAAAGCTTTTAAAGCCGGAGTGCATGGCGTCTTAAGGGTATCAGCGCATGGCTGTGAAACTGCAGGAGAGCTGCTTTGTGCTGTTCGTGCCTGCAGTTAACTGTCTCCTTGCAGAGTCCCGGTCAGTTTGCTGGCTGAAAACCAGAGGCTTCTCTGGTACTGGTGGAAGATTGCCGCCACGTTACTTGGGTTTGTTATGTTCTTTTCTGCAGTATGTTTTGCACGGTATTTATGGAGGGCATTTGGATTAAGTGCAGACTTCAGGCTTGTTTTGAGCTGAGCTTTCAGTTCTGTGGTTGTGATGGATGGGGGTATATCTGTGCCTTCATTGTTTGCAAGTTTTCTTTTGTATAACTTCAGAGATGCATTTGGATATTCGTAAGGGTTGGACAGCAAGTTCTGATGGAGCTGTGGACTCTTCAGGCCACGGGGTATTCTGCAGGCATGGGGAAGCAATGAGCTTTAAGTCGGGCAGGCTGGAGCAGTGACCTCCTTGCATCCTTGCAGGGTGCTCTGGCAGCACGGGGTGCTTTCCACGCCGGGACAAAGGTGCGCTGGCTGCGTGCTGCAGAGGGCTGGCGCGCTTTGCTCTGAGTTATCTCTCAGTGCCATTTGGAAGACCTGCGTATGGAGCAGAAGTGGCTGTTGCTCTTCAGGTTCTGCTTAACAAAACCGGCAGATCAGTTTCAAATCCCAAAAGGCGTGCAGTTGCATTTGAATTCTGAAAGCTAAAAGGAAACTTCTGTAATTGGCTTTCTGACTACTTGTTTTTGAGAATCTTTAGGAAGAATTTGCGATGTGCGCCACTTGTACTTGTATATTGTTTGTCTTGGGTTGTTTTGATTGAAAAATTGGGAAAGAAGAACGTGGAGTTGCAGAGGGAAGTCAGTAAGGAGAAGCACTTAACAGCCTTTGTGGCTTGAGACCACCTGAGCAAGTTCAGCACAACGGTTTTGTTGTATATGGTTTCTCATCAAAGCAGGTGGTTTAGTAGTGGGACTGTAACAGTAAATATTGTACAAAATGTGCATCTGGGAAAAACGTGTGATTTTAGGAGCCCTGGGCATACAGCAGGAGAGGTGCTGGTGATTTCTTTAAAGTGAAATGGGGGGGGAAAGAAAACCAAGAAAACCCAACAGTGTACTTGTGGAGATTTAAACCAAATGAATGTGGTAAAGGAGTTAAAGGTTCTTTTCTTCATTAGACATATCTAATAACTAATTAGTGAATAACGAGCTACCTGACTTGCTTCCATGCTGAACGGAGTTTATACTTGTAGGGTTTGTGGCTCCTGGATTATGTTGTTGGATTAGTGCTGTTTTTCAGAGAGATTTTTAAAGTTTCCAGGATTCTGAAAGGTTTCGTAATTAAAGAAGGTGATCTTGCATGAAGGTGATCTCGCACTGTGATTGATGCTCCTTTCCTCCTTCCAGTGCCTTTAAAGGCTTATTTACTTTTTAAACTGCCTTCAATTACCAGGTGTCTGTTTCTACAGTGCTATTTGTGAAAGTTTATAACGCTTACAGCGGAGCTGTTAAACTGTCCCAGGTGACTTCTTCTAAAACAACAACAAAAAAAACAGGGCTTGTCTTATGCGGTGGGTATTACTGTGTTAAATTGACCTGATTTTTGCGTTCTTCAACAGGAAACTTTTACCAAGGAAACAACGGGGATTTTGTTTTTCTCCAAGTAGGCTTTGGTTGGTGGCAGGCATCTTTCAGTGTGGGGCAAAGCCTGGGACGTGGGCTGCTCCCAGAGGGGTGGCACTGCTGTGGTGCGTTGTGCTGTGTGTGTGCTCTGCCTTGGTGGGGGCTGGGGTTCCTGCATCGTGTTCAGGGGGCAAAAAGAAACTGAAAGGAGCCTGATGGAGAAAACTGTGTGCAGGGAAGAACAGATTTTACATTGTTTTGTGATATGTTATTCTGGACTGTGTTTTACGATCTGGACTTTCTGTTTCTTACTTAGATACTGATTTAAGGTTTTGGACTTAAGTTGTTCCCTCATCCCAGTTGAATACTGAGTGTTGTGCATTAGAATGCAACTGTTCTGGAGTCTAATTAACTAGCGAACACTTGGGGCTGTGCAGATGAATGGCGTTCAGTGCTGTGCCTCTGTCTACATGTGAGAGGAGATCTTTCCCCCAAGCAGTTCCCCCAGCTGTGCCCCCAGAATGAGGGCTGTGCTCCCCATGAGGCTGGGCCACAGAAGGCGGCTCAGGGCAGCGCAGTGTCCGGGGCTGCGGCTGGCCGCTCCCAGGCTGCGTTCCCCCGGCTGGGGGCTGTGCTCTGCGGGGTCACACTCGCTTTTTGTGCGTGCGTAATGATTTGTGTGCATTGCTTTCCCCCTTCGGATCTGTGCTAATTGGTTGGGCTCCCTCTTTCAGACTGCGTCCCAGCAAAATGCTTTCTTTTGGGCTTTTTAAACTGCGTCTCCATGATGTGTCACCTCTCTGGTGATGCAAATTGGCTGCTGAGCAAGAAGTGGCGGACTGGAACAGCGGAGTGTTCACCCTGGTTTTCTGAGAACAGCCCTTCCAGAAATCCTTAGCGATTGCCCCCAGTGGATTTCTGATGTGCAGTGCTTCCCTCCTTGTGCAGTCTGACTTCAAGCTGCTGTTTTTGGACATCTGCTGGAGAGCTTTAACTTGCCGAGGTTCCAGTGTGGGCTAACAGAGATGAAGGAATATAGCGAGGTGCTGTGGAGGCTGCTGTTCCTTGATAGCAATCTGTCTTGCTTCCAAATGCTGGAAGGAGCTCTCGAGCAGTTGATCATTTTTAACTCTGCTGACATAAAAATCCTTAAAAAGCAGCCGGGCGGGAGGAAGCAGCTGAGTACCCCTTTTTGAACACTGGAGACTACAGTGATGTGACTTCTTAATACGTACAGACTATTGACTCTGACCTTACCCATTATGTTATGTGGGAGAAGCCTTACCAAATTTAGCATGTTCATTAGATATTTTCAAGCATGATAGATTCCCACCTCCCCCTGCTGCAAAGAAGCTCTTTGATGATACGTGTGTGCTTGTGTGACTTCGGTGCAGTTGTTTACTGCTCGTGTCGTAGTGCTCAGTGGCATCGGGCAGTGCCGTGTGTGTGACCTGCTGGCCACTGCCTGCGTGTGGCCAGTGCTGCTGGGTGTGCAGGGCCGACCTGCTGCTGGCTCCAGGTGCTCCTGGGCTGGGTGCTGCCTGTCCTGCGCTCCGTCTGCTGCCAACCCAGAGCAGAGCTTGTTCTTGTCGAGATCCTGTGTTACTGGGGAGCTGATCTGCGAGCGCTGGGTGCAGTGTTCTGGTGACTGTCCAGCACAAAGTAGCAGAAGAGTCTTATTTGAGGAGAGAAGTGTTTAGACTGGTGTTCAAGTGGTGCTACTGAATACGGTGCTCTTGTTAGGTGTGCTTTATTCTGACAGAGGACACTGTGGGACCAGACCTGGTTCTGGCATGGCTGTGCCCAGTCAGCCAGCGTGCCCCCAGCTGGGGGGGCCTGGCTGGGCTGGTGGGAGGTGCGGTTCTACACATCTGTTCCTTCTTGGGTGAAAAACAGAGCATCAACAACTCTTCTTTCATTGCAGCGCCCCGGTTAAAGCCACGTGAAGCTGACTGTTCCAGAGCAGCAAATGGAGGGCATGCCCTTTTGGAATAACACTCTGGCTAACCTGGGATTTTTTTTTAAAGTGAACCAATGGATTTGGATGTCTGATTCCAATTAAGCTAACTGTAGGTGGGGAGTCCGCATCCCATGGCTGGTAAATGTGAGTCAGAGTAGAAGATAGATTTTATTCCAAAGCAAATGATGGACCTTGAGAATCAAGAGTTCTGTTCCCCCACTTCTTCCTCCAAACTCCTCCAGGTTAGTCCTGTTTCTTCTCGTCTTAGGTGGAAGGTGCACTCTATGAAATAATGCAAACTGGACTCACCAGCAGAGCTCAGGACTCTTCCTTTCCTGCTGCCCTTCCTTCCCTGCCAGGCTGTCAAGAACAGCAAAGACATACCTTGCTGCTGTTGTCATTGTTGTTATCATCGTTCGTTTTATTTCCCTGCATTTGCATTTCAGGGTAGAATAAGGGAGATATTTCTGTTCTTGGCATGTGTGTTTATTATTATTGCTGTATCTTCTACATACAGAGTAGTAGGAGATCCCTACCAGATGGCAGGAGGGACTTGGGTTGGCAGTTGATGGCCAGTGTCCGGGTGTTTGCAGCCTATTCCCGTGGAGATGCCTTGTGTGCTGTAAGCTGCTCTTAGAATTTGTCTCCCTCTGGCACTGGGTGGTCAAATGAAAAAGTTGATGAGTCTGAGTCTTAGCTTATCTTCTCAGGTAGTAAGGGCTCAGGGTTTTAAAACCTATTATTCTTGAGCTCAGCTTCTTGCTCTCTGATCTCTTAGAGGCAGAACATGATTTCTGTTCTTTGATGCTGGCAGCCAGAGGAAAAAGTGCCTGTGCAGGGCCTTCTGTGAGTGCAATGAGCTTGGTCAGAAGCTGGAGTTGAGGTGGATTTTCTTCTCCCTAACCACTCAGGTAGATTGCTCACATTGTCCTTAACCTCCAGACACTGTCCTATTATTTTGTAAAACGCATGTCTTTCTATTATCGTTGCCTAAGGATGGCTTTTGTATTGTGAATAGTCCTGCGTCTAGTATATTTTCCTTTCTTTTGACTTAGTGCTAACTAAAAATTTAAATTGAACATCACTTGCCTTTTTTTCTGCAGAGGTAAGTTCTCTGCACTAAGACCCAGCTGCTTGGATACGGCAGGAGAGGGTCAGAAGAGGGGGAGGACAGGCAAATGGAAGAAAAGCAGCATGCTAACACCCTTGTGTGCTCCTCTCTGCTTCCAGATTGAGTACATCTCGTCTGCAAAGTGCTGAGCCTTTATCAGCCCGGGGGTAGGTCTACTAATGACTGATCTAA